GCCCGCAGTCTATGATGACTTGTGCATGTCGAACACTAGCGCTGGCTGACCAGGTGGCAGATTGACCCCGCCCACTTCTGTAGCTATACCCTACCGCACTCCTATGTACGGGCGGGTTGCCTACCCGCTCGTCCTCTACGGCGCCATGGGGGGGGGGGGGGCGAGAGGCAAGCGCGCCCGCTTGCGTGCCGTACTGTACCGTCTGTAAAGGCAATAATATACCAGTGTCGCGGGCTTGACTACCCCTGCCCGTAAGGCGCCATTGCTCCTTGGGTATGCAAACCCGCAACGCTGGGGAGTATTAGCCTTTACACTCAGTATAACTCCAGAAGTGCGCGGGGCTAATCAGTGACCTGGCATGGAGAGTTAATAATTTTGACGTTATAATCTTGCTTGTCTTCGGCCCTCCTCTTTTCCTTTGTCTCCCTTCTTTGTTGACTCCTGCCCGGGAAGAAACGTTCCCCGTGGTGACAAGATGAGTGTCGTTATATGAGGAAATGACCTGGCATTGTTTAAACTATCTGCATAATTGAAATCATGAGGAAGCCGAAAGGTACTCAGAATATAATAAAACACTGATAATATAACTCTGACATAGTATACTGTAGTAAAATTTATGTTGGGGCACGGATCGTTGGTTTGAGAGCCGGGGGTGCCCATGGTCCTTCCCTCCTAGTGCGTCGGCCACTCCAAGCCAAGCCACCTCACCGCCCCCACCGGTCGCCAGAGACCTTCGTGCGGAATTCTTTTGAGATGTTGCACTTATTGCAGCCCCCTGCATTGTGCACAGAGAGGGTGTGTTTCTCGTGGGGGCACCAACTTCGGAATTTCGTGCACTGTAGATACGCTCAAATAGTGAATATATTACTGAATAATCGCTGAATACCGAAGATGTTAATTCCCTCGTGAACCGTGAATACTCGAAGTTGTTGCCCCCACTGTGTTTCTTTGGAATGCTTTAGCCATTTCCTTCTTTATGCTGACTGTGAAAAGAATGCGGTATGTGATGTGCGCGCGGTATGCGCCAGCTTTCAGCTTACTATCTGGTGGGTCGGGGGAGCTCAGCCTTCCTGCCCTTATCTTGCTCTCCACCTCTCCACCTCGTTCGCGTTCAACGCGACGCTGGTCGGGCTCCGAGACCCCAACGCCCGACGACGGTGCACCGCTTCTGGGCGGCTTCGCGGCGTCGAATGCTACGATGGGCCAGATGGGCCCAGGGCAGGCGCGTGCCGGCCGGCATACCTCTGAACCAATCCCCCCCTCCCCCCCGTTCCCCGCGTCTACGCTCTGCCCCGCCCCCACCACACCACCTGTTGCTCTGACCTGAGCACGTGGACCCATGGACCCGGTGCACCCCTGTCTCTCCTCCCCCTCCCTTCCATCTTCTCTCCCTCTGCCCCCCCCCCCTTCCCTCTGCCCCTCCCCTCCTCTCCCAGCGCACAGTAAGCGCGCCAGGGCCGCGCCGACCGGGTCACGTGACGTTTCGTTTTCCCGCCAAGCCGGCTCAGCTGATGTGGCTGCCTGCTCGGTCTGGCCGGCGCACCCGCAAGCGCCGCAACCGCTCGCCTCGGACAGGCCCAGCTCGGGCTTGGCTTGTCCCCGGACCCAGCGGAGGGAAGACCAACATGACATGTCGTGTCGTCACTAAACCATTCATTGGTTTTTGTTTAACGACCCTTGTCTTGTTCCAATTATGTTGCAGAAACTCAAAGAGCGTACCATGGACTCTCAACAGACCTCTACAAACCGTCGGATTATGACCGACTGGCTATGTCTCTCATGTCTCCTCTACCCAATGAGCAAGACTTTGCCATTAATGTGTGCACACTACTGTCAAATGAAGGAAAGCACACATTAAAATTGGACAAATGCCCACGACTTGTCGACTTTCTACTTGCCCATGCAGCTGTTTTTAGTAATGGTATGTATATTCAGTTGTGCTTCAAATTTAGATTGTGCTACTTTACCATGTATATATTACATATTTTTGGTGTTTATTTTTCAGAGGGAACTAGAGAATTATTCCAAGAAGTATATGGGAAAGTTCGACATAGTTCAATGACTCACTTCTGGGCTGATGTTCTTGAAGATGCCGAACTGCACCACCTAACCGACGAAGCACAATGGCCACTAAAGTCAAGACCCTCTATAGTCCCAAGTTTTGTTAGGACAGATAGTTCAAATTCAATAGATAAAAGTCGTAATAGTAGTAGAGAACTTTATGAAACTGAATTTGACCTAGATGAATGTGGATTACGGTTGGATTACCCTAGTAATGTTTTTCTGGGTAGAAGAAAAAGTGGGGAGAGTTCAAAGACTGATCTTGAGAAATCTAAGAAACCCAGAATCGAAATTGAACCGTCCGATTTAGAACTATTTTGTCTTGGCAGAACATTGGGCACACAAGACTACTTAGGACAGAGAGTAGTACAGGTGATTTTTAAAGTTCTGTTTCGGTTTTATTTGTCACTTGAGTAGTGCCTTTCAACAGTTTAAATTTTCCAGGTCTCAACCATACTACGGAATTTAAGTTTTGGAGAGGAAAACCAAACTATATTGGCAACAAATCCAACTTTCCTTAGGTTTTTGTTATTATGTTTGCACTCCCGATGGGACACACTAAGACAACTTGGATTGGATGCTTTGGGAAATATTGCTTCTGAACTGCAATTGGAGAGGCTAAGCTCAGATGCTCTTCTTCAGTTAATTCTTACTGCTGTTACACAAAGGTTATTTGGTCAAGATCGAGCTGGAATCATTTCTGCTCTAGAGATATTAAATAAACTTGGTCAGCGAGAGGATAATGAAGATGCATTGCAACGGTCATTAGATGGAAAGGTGAGAATAAGGCTCAGATTTTCTTATTACTAATTTTATTATAACCTACCATTCATTACTGTTGTTTTCTATTTCTAAAGGTGTATGAACAAATCATCCGGTATCTGACTCTGCATGACATTATGTTACTTGTGCAGACACTTGAATGTTTGTATTCACTTTCATCCCTTGGTGAAAGGGCCTGTAATTTCATTGTCAGAATTCATGGAGTTGTTGACACTCTTGTGTCACTAATTACAGTAGAGGTAAGGATGTCAAAGGCTTTATGAGGTTTTCTTTATGTTTTTCATTTAACTTTTTTCTTCTCCAAAGCTCAAAACTATAATTGAAATCATTACTTTTGCAGGCACAAAGCTATGGTCCAAAAGCTTGTATACTGATGAGAGTTGTTGAAACTATTTCGGGACATGAAAATAGTGGCCACAACAACCATCTTACAGTCTTGCAGACTGCAACTCCATCTCAGCATGCCGAACACACTCAACCAGGTCACTCAGGATCAATGATGCAGCACACATTAAACTCAATTAAAAAAGTTTATCCTCCATCCCCCATGATGACAAAAGTTACTCCAATTCGTAAGTCTTACTTTCCTCTTCCATTGCCATTAAAGCCCTTTCTGTAGGATGCTCTAATCCAATCTAATCCTTCTGATTGGTTTTCATTTGTCTAGGCCCTGCATTTACTTCTACTCAGACTGGATCTGGATCCCCAGTTATGACCCTGCACCCACAGTTAACTTTGCAACAGCAGAATCCACAACAATCAACCATGTTCCCCCCTACATCACAGCAGTCCAGTTTTCCAGCAATACAATCGGTTCAAACAAGTGTGCAATCATTGCAGCCCCAGCAACAATCTTTTACCTCACAGGCATTGCAACCTTCAAGTCAAATGATGTCTGTCATAGCACAAGCTCCTCCAATGTCAACACCTGCTTCTGTCATACAGCATCCTCCATCAGCATCAAGTCCCCAACCGCGGCAGACAGCCACCCCTCCTCCAGCAAACCAGGTAATTTATCACTTTACAATTATCTCTTTTTCAAAATAACCTAGTGGTAAATTAGTTGTGTCCAATGCACTCTTACATTTTAATTTGTCCAACAGGGTCCCTCAGGACAACTCACTGCCCAAGAAATGGTAGTCAGAGAAAATGAGCAGTTTGCTATATCTTTCCTCCGCGCAACTTATGAAAGTGTTCCTGGCTGTCGGGTAGAGCAAAGTGAAGTTTACAACAAGTACCTCAGTGCCTGCGCCAAAGCAGGAAGGAAAGGTGTAATAGCACCACTTCACTTCCCAAAATGTGCCAGGTAAGAGAGTAATTTTTTTCTGTGTGCTGGTTGTATTGCTCTACATTTCCGTGTACTGTATTTTAATAGTATCTGGTCTACTTTAGAACTGCATTTGGAGTTGCAACTGTCCCAGCGGTAAAACCGGCCATGTTTGGTGGAGATTCATCATCTTCTGGAGTCAGCAAGCAGCTTTTCTATGAAGGAATCAAGGTGCGACCCAAGCCAATTCCCGTCATTATGGAGGGAACTGAGTCTGCCACTATAGGCGTCTCACCCATAGACAAAAAGAAGCTTCTTAAACAAAAAAAACCAGCAACAGCAGGTGGCACTGCACCAATAGTTAGTAGTACAAGTTCAGACAAAAATGCAGACCCTGTCCCTCCAACTTCGGTTTCCTCTTCCTCAACGGCGCCCTCTGCCTCTTCTACAACCTTTACCCCCACATCCTCCATTCTCCTTAGTCAACTCAGCGCACCCCCTAAGCCCAAGGATACTCCCTCAACCGCGGAAAATAGCAATCAGGTACGCATGGATTTCTATTCTATTTATTTCGGTGACGGGCTCTTAGCGCTGTTGTTTCCTCTCGTTATTGTTGTAGAAAAGCCTCCCATTAGGTTATTGGTTTGATGTAATTTGTTGGCAAGTCTGCCTTTCCGTAATGTATTACAGAGGGATGTTTTGATATGAGACTGATGTCATTTGTGCTCTTTAATTAGTCAGTGAGAACAGTTTGAGGTGCTATCAAATGACTACAATTCTTAGGTTCCCCCTGAGTAACTTAGTCGTAGATACGTTTGTTCTGGTGCTACATTTTTCTCTGTTTGGTTATTTACTAATGTAGTGTGTGTGTGTGAGTGAGTGATATACATATGTATAGTGATATACATAGATACATTACAGCTATTTTTGGAGTTCAGGATCAAAGTATATCCTCTGTTCTATAGTAATTTTGGGTCCGTAGTTGTTGGTCATTTTGGTGTGAGGTATTCCAGATAATTGGTCTAGAAACTGGTCAATCAAAATTGGGATTAAATATTTCTCAAAGGGCTGTGTGCAGTGGGGCATATGTGTTGAGGTGTAAAAGTTGGTTTCTTTTTTGAAATCTGTAGCATATTTTATGTTGGCCTCAAGGTTACTTCACATCCACATCTAAGTCAAGCTTTGGTTGGTTCTGAAACAAACCCCTCCGGAAGTACCTCTGCTGCTGCAAGTACAAGCACAAACAATTCTGTTCAATCTGCAACCTCTGGAGCACAGCCTACAAACACTTCCCTTATCAAGAGTTTGCTTGCTACTAAGGTAGGCGAGACTAGCATGTCGAGCCCACAGCCTGCTGGCATGATGAGTGGAAACATAACCAGCTATAACATCGACATCGGCAATATCCAGCAGGTGAGCCGCCATTGGCCAGTTGTTCGGACTATGAGGGACTTCTTTCAATTATGTAATGTCTTTAGAAGCATTATCAATTACACATCCTAGTCCAAAATGTACGTCAAATCAATATGCAGTGAATTAAAAAAAAAAAAAAAAAAAACATGGTTATTAAATAGCATTCTAGATTTCTTTTGTATATTGCTATGTAAGAAGTATAGAGATATGGAATTTCCCCGGTATTTAACCTTTTCTTTTTTTTTAATTCGTTTAGATTCTATTTTTATTTTATTTTTTGCTTTCAATTTCATTACTAGAGGTCCTCTTTTCATTTGTGTTCAGTCTCACACATCCAATATATCTAGCTGGCACTATAGGCGGCCCTGTCTTGGTCTGTTGTTTTCTTTTTGTGTGTGTGTTTTTGTTATTTTTTGTTTTAACCTTGCATGAATTTTGTTGCCCTACCTAGTAGTTTAACTGAGGTTTAAATACAGTTGATTTTGTAGGTTTGAGCTTTGTTGTTTATCAGGGGAGAGTTTGGAATAATATGATATTTGTTTCTGTTATTCCAAGCATGACTTCACATTTGACTTTGAAGTAGCTATTAAGCATGAGCCCTAATATTTGACATATTACATATCACTGAACAAGCAACCTAACCCAATTTTATTTGAATGCCAACTAATACCTATTCATTATGACATTAAGCTCGTTAGGATTCTAGCCATGTTATTTTCATCAAATCTATTCTAAACTTTATCAATCAACTTTCAGGTTGCACAGCGCCAGCGTATGCAGCAACAACAACAGCAACAACCAGTGCAATCTGAACAGCAGATTCAAGGTGTTCAGTCATCAGCACCCATGCACGTGCAAATTGCATCAGTGTCTCAAGCCTTGCAACAGCAGCCTCCGCCTCTTCAGCCACATTCTTCTCAGCCTACAGCTCAGTCTCAATCAACTCTGAAAGCCTCTTTACCTCATCAACCTGAAGCTGCAGGCCAACAAGCACAATCAAATGTTGCCATCTCTTCTTCACAACCAACAGCTCAAGGTGCATTGTTGCAGCAACAATTACTACAAACCTCCATTCAGCCAAATGAACAACAATCTGGTGCTATTTTAACATCGACAATTGTCAACCACAAAGGCAAGGCTTTAAGGGTTGCAAGAATTAATGGAGCTCGAACCCCGACCATCATTCAAATTCAACCTCAGGTTAGTTTTTTGCCTTCATATTAACACGTTGAGTCCCACGTGACCACACCTGTGTTTATCACCTCCTCCTGGGACTCAATGTGTTAACAATGATTCTATTTGCTTGAAAATATAACTAACAAACATCTTTATTTACATTCCACAGGGAGATTCCTCAGAAGTGGAAAATCACATAGGAGGGACGGTATTACAAAGCAGAAGAGATCCTCCTCAACCACCACCACCACCACTAGCACCACTTAGTTCTGGACCTAATCGTGTAGTTACCCAAGAATCAACTGATGGTGCAAGTGTGATAAAATGTAAGTCAATTTGTAATATAATAATGTAATGTAGGTGTAGACTCGTAGATAAAGTTTGAATATTGCTTTTCCAATCCTGACCAACCTAATGTATTTTGCTTCCTTTTAGGTACAAATAATTTAATTGTGTCTGAAGAAAATGCTACCAAAGCTAATAATCAAAGTATGGAAGGTGTACTCGTTAATGGTGCTGCCCATGGGGAAATCAAAACAGAAATCAAACAAGAAGAAACTTCTGTTGAAGATAATACTAAACCTGTTGGTAAAGGAAATCTAATGCTGGTTGATCTCCTGGAAAAATCTGTTGATGTCAAGGAGCCTCCAGTATTAAATGGCGGTTTATCTTCCAAGGATTTGTGTATCAGTGAACGTGGTCTAGAGTTAGTCTCTAAAGGAGCTAAGACTGAATTGGGGAAGCAGATAAGGATCACTGAACGTGGTATTGAAGTTGTGGACACTGTTACTGGAGGTTGTGATAAAGACCTAACTGGTATGGAGTTGAGACTTACTGAAAGAGGTCTCGAACTTGTTGACAAACAGAGTGAAGTTGTTCAGCCTGCACCAACTGCTGTGCAGCAAGACAATGTACTTAAGAAAGAGCTATCTGTTGGTGAAAAGTTACTGGAATTTTTAGAAAAGCAAGATGGCAATCTCCAAGATGAAGTCATGGTTGGTCCTGAAGGTGATGTTGCTGCATGTATTAAAAGGTCTGCTGAGGATGATGCAGATGATAAAAGTGATGTTAAAAGGTTGCGGCTAGAAGTGAATGGTAATGGCTCAAATTCAGGTGATGAATCTAGCCAAGGTGAAGAAAAAGTCAAAGCTTCATCAGCTGCAGCGAATTTGTACTCTGCTCTTGCTGCTTCAGTGCTGGAAGATGAGGATCCAGAGTTACTGATGGAGCAAGTGCCTCAAACTCAAGTTAATAAGGAGCCTGCTCCGGTTGTTACGCAATCACAAGTAGTTGAACAACCTGTCACTCCAGCTGCTCAATCCCTACAACAGATTCAAATTCAGCCTCAAATGCAAACACCACCACAACCACAACAGGCACAATCACAACCACAGTTGCAGCTGGTTCAGAGTGGAGGCACCATACGCCAAGTCTTTGTTAGTTCTGATCCAAACCAGTCTGCTCCTGCCCAGCAAGTAATGATGGCTGGAACCCGACAAATAATTGTCTCTCAAGGTATGCACAAACTGTAATTTTTGAAAGGTGTAGGTTCTGGCCTTGGTGTATAAAATTTATGTTATTTATCATACTCTATTTTATCTTGTTACCAGCCCTTACTGGTCAAAACCCAGTGCTTATCACAACAGGAGGCTCAATATCTCTTCAAAGTGGAACAACTGTAACTGGTACTACTGCATTAAAAACAGCTACAGGCCAGACTGTTCTGATGCAGACCAGCACAGGTGGTAGCGTCATTACTGGAGCGATGGGAAGGCCACAGTATGTCATATCGCAGCAAGGCCAGGTATAGATTTTTACTAAGTTTCCTTTTTCAATTGACCTTTAATTCATTATTTTTTAAGTACTAATGGAATACTGCTCTCCAAACAGCAGTTGCAGCTTGTTCAGCCTGGGAATCAGCTACAAATTGCATCAGGTGGAGTTGGTGGCCAGCAATTCGTTATGGCCCAACCTCAAACAGCTCTCATTCAGGGACAGCCTCAGACTGTCTTAGTGGCTCAGACTCCTCAACAACAGGGCACTTCAGCCAAAACAATCATTATTCTTCAGCAACAACCTGGAGGCACTGTCCCAGTCAGTGGTGTGACTACTCAACAAGCTGTCCAACAGAAATTGGTGGCAGTCACTCCACAGGGTCAGCCTGTAGTGGTGACACCCGTCCAGAGGCCTGTAATTCAAACAGGGGCCGTGAGCCATTCTGCACCACCAGCATTGGTTGCAACCAGCCAACAGCCGTCACCAGTACCATCTCCTGCTCCCACTGGCATTCCCACACCTGTGTTAACTGCCAATCCATCCCCAGTTCAAACTCCGTCCCCATCACCTATTCCCACTCCAACAATCACTGCCAACCCTAATGCTAGTGCAGGGTCTCGGCCAAATGTTGTCCGACCGAGTCCAACCCCAAGCCCGAACTCTTTGACTAGTAAACCAAATGGTGTAGTAAGCAGTACATCAGTAACTAATGCCACTGCAACACGAATAGGAACTCGGAGTTCTGTTGCAAAATCAACTACAGTAAATACAGTTACCACTGCTTCAGCAGGGCCAGCAAGCCCTCAATCAGCTGCTACTCCAGTAAATTCGACCAAGCCTACAATGCTTGCCTCAAATACTTCAAGAGTTGGTGGGATGCCAAGTCCAGTACCTAGACCTATGCCTAACCAATCTATGTTTTTATGTGAATGGAGAGGCTGTATGAGGTAAATTTAAAGCTCAATATTGACAAATTTCTCTTTTTAAAAATTAGAACTGTCTGAAATTATGACTAAAATATCCATTTCTTCTATCTAGGAGCTTCAAGTCTGCTAATGAAGTTTATATGCATGCTTGTGAAGCACATTGTCCATCCGGAAGCCAAGAGATTCAATGCTTGTGGGAAAGATGTGATGCAATGAAAAGAAAAAGATTCTCTCTTATGACCCATTTGTTTGATCGTCATTGTAATGCTGATGTAAGTAAATTTATTTCTCTTTAAGTATTTTTTCGTATCTTTGAAAAAAATCTGCATTAAGTCATTCTGTGATTTTCAGGTATTGCGCATGATGGCCATGCGGAGACGACAACTCTCTCAAAGTGGCCGCAGTGAAATTCCTCCTCCACAGCCTCCACCACCACATCCAGGATATGCACCTAACGCAGCTTTTCATGCAATCAAGAGACATGCATTGGAATTTGTTAACCCGAAGGAACTACTGGTGAGTTTTGATAGTCTGACTTCCTCTTCTCTGTACCTGAGAATGTTTTCAAGATACAAATTAAGTGGTGCCTTGAATACTTTTTTATGTTGCAAATGGGTATTAGGAATGTCAAATGAATTTTCTATATACGTCATCTGTCATCTGTCATTGTCCCCCTGTCACTCCTCATACATATCAGTGGGTGGTAGTAGAGTATTGAATTTAGACACCCTTTATGTCCCATTTTTTTGTGTCTCTGAGGGGAAGTTTTGATGATGGAATGTTTGTCTGACAGCATAAACCTGGACCAGCACCTGTCCCTGTTCCACCCGAACAGGTAAAATTTTCCCAAACCTAGTTTGAATTGTTTGATGTATCTATTTGTTTTGTATATCTCAGCTCGGAAAAAAGCATGAATTTTAAGGATTCTTAAAATTCTGTTGATTTTGACTTTGCATGCTAGTTTAGTCCTTCCCCCGCATTTAAACCCTTCAATTCCACTGTTTGTAGTTCCTTATTTTCACACCATTTTCCCCATACTAGAGTTTTTTCTGAGCCATGAAAATCTCAACTTCCACCTAATCTCTGTCTTAGCAACCTCTTTCTTGTTGAAATTGACATCCTGAGGTCTGTGAAGTGACTCAGATAGGAACTGCAATTCTGTTTTTGCAGAACAGAGATGTTATGGTTAGAGAATTCGTGCCAAATTCTAAATTCACGTCTGCTAATTAGACTGGACAGTGAACATTGTTGGCAATAACATTTCTTCTTGCGCAAGCTGGTTTGCTGAGAACTAAAGTAGGCAACTTGGTGCTAACTCAATAAAGCCCTCATGTCGCCATTGCTCTTGTGAATGGTACTAAAAATATGATGGTACTTATAAAAATGTGGGTACTTTTGACCAAGATCACTTGTATTTTGAAGGAAAGCGTTTAGTTCCGGGAGAAAAACGATTGAAGGCGCTACGATCGCGCTCCTGTTGTCATAAGAGAGTTTGAGAAGGGAGGGAGGGAAGTATAGCAACAAAGACGGTTGACGTCCCTCTTGCATTATGAGTTGGGCTGGGGCCCGGCCGTGTCGGTTAACTAAAACTGAAAAACGTGACCATAGTCATGTCTGCGCACTACTTGCCTGTGCGACCGCGTTGCGTAGACTGTTCATCTGGCGATTCGTCTCTAGGATTGTGGTAGCGGCAGCCCGGCTTAAATCCGCATATAAACAGTTTTTCACAATTTTAATTCAGTGATCCGTTAGTTAATTTTCAGGCAACATGTACAGTATTGAGTCTATTGGTGATGGTTACAAAGGTGCACTAGTTCTTCACAGTCTTGCACCTTCACACGCATTTTGCACTTCTAGTGAATCAGTGAAGTTGTACACAAAGTATTCTGTGCTGTGCACAGCTACTCCCAGCTACATGATGCATATAGGAGCATCTCACTTTTGATGTGAATGATTTGCATGCTTGATGAAACTTGGTGGAAAAGATTGTTCATAGTTGTTTTGTTTTCTTGTGTGTGTGTGTGTGTGTTGGTTTTTTTTTGTTTTTGTTTTTTTGTGTGTGTTTTATTGTTTTTCAATATGTTGTTACTTTATTTTGTGAATCTACTTTACTGTTGTTGAAGTGCCCAGCATGAGGCAGCACTTCAAAACCAATGATTTCTCTTTGACCGAAGAATTAATTAGCTTTGAAGGTTGTTTGTTTGTTTGTGTGGTGTGGTGTGCACCCTCTGGTTGCCCAATTCTACCTTATCAGTTTAGAGAGAACCAAAATGATATGTTTTGACTTTCATTAATGCTTTTGCCTCTTAGCTTTAAAACTAAAGTTTTTGTGTCTCAAATAGATTTGTACTGTTTGTAGTAATTTTTTTTCCCTCAAAGGATGTTTATCCTAACATTTCCAAATTTCATTTTTTTTTAAAACTCAAAACAAATTGGGAGTTACTTAACCGTCTATCAATCTGCTGCATACAAGTCCCAAATGCTGCTTTTTCAGTGGAGACGGGTCTCATTGTAATCTCTGTGTTGTTGGTTTCTCAGTTTGTTTATTTTTTATTTTTCCTTTATTTTCTTTGTGACTATATATGGAACAAAGAGGTGCTGCATTTCAAGCTGTCAACATCAGTTTTTTAGAAAGACATTTCAATATTTGTACTTTTTTTTTTTGCCGCTTTGTATTTGAATATTGTTTTTTAATTGGTTTCAGGATGACAATGAGGGACCTGTTACAAAAAGCATTCGTTTGACTGCTGCCCTAATACTACGCAACCTAGTCATTTACTCAAATTCTGGGAGAAGGTAAAATGAGTTTTGAAATTAGCTCCTTTTTGTCTAAAATGTCTGTTTCACACTAGCTTTGTTCTCAAACACATTCTTCTTTGTTTGCAGATTGCTACGAAGCCATGAACCACACTTAGCTAGTGTGGCACTAAGCAATGTAGAATCATCTCGAACTGTGGCTCAAGTTCTATATGACATGAATCATGCGTCAAATAGATGACGTGACTAGAGTCTTAGGAGTGGGAAGAAATAGTTTGCTTGTTCACTATAGGGTGGAATCTCAAGTGATTTAAAGCTGTAGAATATTGTTTTCTTCATTGAATGTTAAATAGATTGTACAATTGTATCTACCAGTTTGTATATATATATGTACAGTAATTTTAGAGAAATGTTCTTTAAGTTCAGGAGAACAGTGCTGTGCCCCCATTTTTTACTAGTTAGTTGCAGGCCTGGGTTTTCATCTCGGTGATATTCCATAGAGAATAATTAAGATGACATAATAAATTGCAGATTCCGTACTGAATGTGTTTATTTGGCCCTTCATAGTTTGTAAGGACCAGAGTTTTGTGTTATGGAAGATAAAAGAACTGAGCCGGGCTAGATTTTCTTCAGTTGGAATGATATTATATGTCTGCTCCCATGCACAATGTATTGCAAACCTTTTGAATTTGTTTTAAATGGACTTAAATTCTGCATTTTACAAATTTCAAAGTATGGGGTTTTACATTTCTTTTTCATTCTTTATCTATAATTATATTGTACTTAAAGGTAAAGGAAATTATACCCCATTCAATCAATTGTCTTAACTGCCATGTCTTAATGCGGGTGAGTTATAGTTAAACTCACTTATAGATAATTTATTGTTACATGTTTCCTACTTTTAATCATGAGTAAGTTTGACTGTAATTTCCTACCCAAAGATATTTTACTTGTAAATTGATTTCTCTTTTAAAGCAAGACAACTTAAATAAATTAAAATGTGATCAGCAGTCTTATAAGCAATTAGTTCTAGGGTCCTGTAGGATGTATTGTATCTCCTATACCGTCATTTATCTTTTTTTTCTCTTTTTTTTTATGTTCTGCCAGTTATGTGCGATTGTGTTTGAAGTATGAGAGCATGTGTGATAAATTGTGTATATTTATGATTGATTCTAGTTGGGCATTGTACTCTTGTCTGTTTCCTAATTTGGCTTTAAACTGTCAGGAGCATAACTTTAAGATCACCAGACCTGCAGCGCAGCTGATCTCCATGGCATGGCATTGTCAATGATTAATGATTTGATTGTACAGGCGTAAACTGAGAGATTATATCCCAGGAAACACCAGTATCTATTTTATCTTGTTACATTAAGTCAATTTGCAATGCAAACCTTGCAAAATATGTACAAAGTAATTTTAAAACTTTTTGTAAAGTCAGTTTTTATATTTTATGGATTGGCAAACAAGCTGAAAAGAATGTAATCATGAATTGTATAGATGTTGACATTGAAGCTGTAGACTACCTTGAAAGGTTTTTGACAAATAAATAATATGAAAGTAATTGTTAAATTGTGCTATTTAAAACCATGAAATGCAATCATAAATTTCATCTGAACCTTAATTTTGTATTTTTAAATTAACATGAGCACTTAATCTTTTTGTGTAAATACCGTGTTGCCATCAGTTGGTGGTTTGTGTGCAATCTTTACCCTTGTGAAAATTTAAATGGGAAAGCGTAGCACTTGCATTTAGATTTATAGATATTTTTTAATTGTGCTAACGGTTAGCGGTTTAACAGCCTTTGCCTATAGCTATCGTTATACAAAATTGTTGTGTAATAAATGATGAATTACGCTGTTATTTTTTTATGTGTAAAATCTTTCACAGTTATACATCTATTGACCTTCAACTGGCCCATATACTAGCAATTTTATAGAGATAGGTATAATAGATGTAAGACTTTATCTGTGACAGTTTTTGTTTCTTTTTAATTTCTAGTGTTCTAATCAGTATTAATTGAGAAAGTTGCATGGTTTTAAGTTGTTGGAGGATAAGAATCTAAACTTATTTAAGGTCCTGCAACTGGTGGTATGTGCTTTCACTTTGACTACTGTAAATGATCCATGAAATTATAGGTCTATTTATAATTTGTATGTGCCTAGTACAACCTGACTTTTCTTCAGCAATTCCTATTGCAGTATAGAGTAGGACTATAAACTTCAAATCTAAGCCTTACCAGAGGTGAACCTACAAAATGCATATCCCAGTTAAACAAGTCCAATTGCTATTTATTTCCCCAAGTGTCAGATTCGAACTTGTTATACAGCATTTTGTTATTTTATTACAATTTTTTTTTTATTTTTTTTTTTGTAATTTTACACAGCAAATGAGTGTTTCAGTGAGACTTAGGCTCTGCTTTAGAAGTTGAGCTACTTTGTCAGTTTATGTGATGAGAGGATTTTGCACTGTGTACAGTGTACTTTATTGCCAAAAAGTTCTCAAATAAATCAGAAATCAAATATTTCCCTGTGTAAGACATTTGGAACTAGGTAAAAATGTTTATTTTGAAGAGATGAGCAACTAGGAATTCATTCATTATAAAATCTCATACATAACAACGAAATTGATCCCATCAGTGATTAGTTCCTATAACACAATGAGTAATGGCTGAGTTTCTGTATTAACACCACAGGAAGTAGTATTCTGATATAGTAACATAATTTGTACAAAATTAAATGTGCTCCATTGGTAATACACAATGAGTTGTGGACACACTGAGAAAAATAGTCAAGATTTCTTAAAACTCATTACTACAAATTTGTGCTCCACTCACATCAAGTTTATGAAATTAAGATTTGAGCTCTATCACACTCAAATCAAGTACCTAAAATAATTTGAAAAGATCAGCCTCAACATTCCACATTCACAGTTGAAAATAATTTTGGAAATCACAGAGCAGATAGTAAAAATAGGTTTGACACAATACAGACACTATCAGTATGAAAAGTTCTGAGAATTGAGATTAAATGTGCTGCACTTCAATTCATGAAAAGAATATCGTACAAGTACAGTGAGACTCACTTATTACGTACGCCCGATAGAATGTCACATTTTTATACAGCTGTGTGTTAAAAATCTCGCTTAAAACATAACTTCTGGTCATTCCTTGGGATCCACGTTATGAGCTGGTTTCACTGTAGGTAGGTGTTTAACACGAAACATTAGAGGGATCACTAAAACAGTAAGCAAATATCACGTCCATACAATTACTACAGCATCCCATGAGGACCGTTGACCGGTTTCAACAGTTACCTCACACCTCTTTTTTTCTGCTTCTACGTATTAAGATATTTTTTTATTTTATATTTTTATAGTTTTTTTTGAAAAAAAAACAAAAAAAAAAAAACAGATTACTAACAAGATCATGAGATACACTTAGTATCAAGTCACCAAAGTACTACCTACATCTTCCCCTTAGTGTAGATATTTTCAAATTTTAAAAAAAAGGCACAAAATAATGCCTGCAAAATATTACAATTCACTGGGCAAAAATTCTGATTCTTGGAATAGTTTTGGATGCTTACATCATCAGTACTTACTAATTACTGTATAAATTTATGCGCTTCTGAGCATGCATCAGATTAAAATACAATCAGCCAAGAGAAAGTATTTGACAAATTATGAATTTCAGTAGGTACAATGGTCAAAAGTACTAATTTGAGATCATTACCTTTCCATTGTAGTCACAGAGAATATAGATTACTGTAGTTGAACTGCATTTAAATCTCAATAAATTGGTGCCATTAAAGGAGATAACCAAAGGTGTACATTACAGAAGAACAAGAGGAAGACAGACATTGATTGACGAGCAGATATAAAAATAATTGTTACTTAGGTACTTTTGCATGCAACTGAGACTATCAATGACTACCGTAAAACGGTAATATGGACCATGCGGGGTGAAGTGGACCACCTTCTTTTTTTCTATATTCCGCTTCTGCTCAACTCATACTACCACTTAGTCGTATTCCTAACAATGTTGGGCGACAGCTCAGTGGTCAAGCAGAGCATAGGAGGGTGGTCCACATTACCTCACATGGTCCATCTTAGCCTGTTTAACGGTAGTTTCCTCTGCTGTCATAGTGAGAGTCAATAAGGTTTTAAGCAAGTTCACAGAAGCTTAAAAGTGTTTCAACACAAAATCCACAAAAAGAAGACAACTAAAAAATTGAAATTTTAGGGGACTGTATTCCTCTTGTTTGTCAAACAATAAGTAGTTCATTCCAGAATTACTTACAAACCAGTAAAACACATGGAAGTCTACAAATCTGTGGACCAAGAAAACCTTAGATCACAACATTGCTAATGAGATTTGCAATGCTATCAAACAACCAATTTTACTAAGTCATGCATATCATTAAGAAAATTGATGCAGAACAACCTGATAAGAGGCACTTTGCAGCCTCATTAAAATGTCAGAAATTGCCAACCTGTCATCTAACAACCTTAGATTACTTTAAGTAGCAAATCATAATGTAAGGAATGGGTAGTTCATAAATTTCACATGCCATTAAGAACAAATTGCATGCAAACCCAGACCCAATCAACATGATAAAAATGGCTTTGAAAAGCCTTAAAAACAATAATAATGACAACAGAATAAAGTTTAATTAATAGGTTTCAACACTAACTCTTCAGAACAGTATGACAAAAGTAGTCTCAAAAGAAACAAAAATCAGACTAACAATATGAATTTGTTAAAGAAAATGTCATTATTTAACTTCATAGACAGGTAAGGAGCACTTTCATCAATTTAAAATAGCTGCAATGATTGAAATAGAAGTTTGCTGCCACTGTTAAACTTTCAAATATTAAATTCATGTTTAAGACACAACCAAGAATTGTGTAAGTCATAGTTACAGGTGGCCAAAATTTATAGAAAAGCAGCACATGAAAGAATGGCACTAATAAACACATGGGAACAGATACTAAAAAAACCTAAAAAGATTTAAAGCTTTTGGTTCAGAAAACAAAGACAATTAAATGCAGAACAAAGCATTATAGAGAAAATATTTGGCTTTAAAAATTTAATAGGGGATTTAGTCCTAAACAATTACATTAACCTTACTTTAAAGATGACTAGTATTCAAGTTCAGGAGTCGTTGATGCAGGGTCTGGTAATGGCTCTGGTTCAATTGAACAGCGTGCTGACAGGTCCTCATAAGACTTTCCATGCAAAAAGCACACTAATACAACAGTCATATTGTCACAACCAAGACCACCCATCTGACAATCAGGAGCCAAGCAACAATTCATAAGGTCCTCACAAATATCTTCAGGATCCATGCCTGATCCAATTCGCATTCTGACAAACTCAACAACTTCCTGAAATAATAATAAATAGAGGAATGATAATCAGATCAATCACATGACAAGAGATTAGATCAACAAGGATTATTACATACCTCATTAGTCATAACATCCCAAATACCATCACATGCAAGGATAATAAACTCCCAATCCGGTGTGATGGTTTTATCTTCCACATCCGGAAAAGCTAGAACAAATTTGAATGGACAAACATATATAAAGAAAACATTGCAAAAAAAAAAAAAAACATTATTTAACAAGAAAAAGTGATATATCTACCTGTAACAATTTGTTCCTCTGGTCGAACTCTTTGGTTCTTCTTGAAGATGAAGTCACCTAATGCTCTTGAAAGAGCCAAATTCCCATTGACACGGTTGTATTCTACCCAGCCCCCAGCAGCGACTATTCTCTTTTTTTCTGCATAATTGCTAGGCTTGTGATCATAAGACAGGGGTTCTACCCTACCTGCAACACTTGCAATTGCTCTGGAGTCCCCTACATTGGCCTGCAAAAAAGTATTTTTTTTTTTAAGTGTACCTTTGAAACATAATACTTAACAAGGAGACAATTTTTTAAACTCTTACACAGAAAAGAGAATTGTTTTTGATTAGTACAGCAACTGCAGTTGTCCCAGCCATTTCATCTTTCAGTGCTTCATCTTCAAGCATTGCAGTATCAACATCCAAAAACCCCTGTGTAAATAGTATAGTAATGAATGAACAAATTTTAAAGGAGGACACTACTCTGAAACATTTAATGTCTTAATGAACCTAAAATTACTAACTTGCTTCATAGCATCTGGTATTAATCCTTCTTTATACTCTGGTCGCTGCAAAATAAATTTGTGTAGGTGTTTTCCTGCATACTGAGCGATCTTGGCACCTGTAATGAGAAAGTCATCAGAATTTATGAGCAAATTAGAAACAGGGCCGGAATACATACATACATACATACAGAAGAAAAGAGCCAAAATTACCTCCGTGTCCATCATAGACAGCAAAAAATGCAGTCCCTGGGTCATCCGGAAGTGATAAGAGATGGGTGTGCGAGTCTTCCATATTTATACGCCATCCCTGCATGCAGCTAGAACCCACTCTGTACAGTTGATTTTGACAACATGCAGACTCCTTTTCTGTGACTGGCTCTGACAGTGTCTGCCCCATATTCCTAAAAATCATTCAGAACCATACTTAAAAAATTACTTGTTTGATTGTGGGGATACGTGCTGTGACATCAGCCATTTCAACAGGTAAAATATTGGTGATCAGTATATTAATTGTATCGTCAATTGAGCACTATTCAACGGAAAATACACACAAAACCGTTCCTCACCCGTGGAAAACGACAAACGGTCGGTGAAAAAGTTGAAGGGATTTCGGTGAGGAAGTCACGCGTCTTTCGAACATGTCGGACTTAACTTTTGTCATAATCACACACACAAAAAAGTAAAATTTAACAGGAATCTCTTGTAAAAGCATAAAGTTAAAATTGTCACGATGGGCGGCAAATTTATTTATTCGCTAATCAAAACTGGTTGTGTATCCATAGAAATAAGGTTCGTTTTAACCGTACTCACTTTTCTTTCACGATATGTCATATATCGCACGTCAATAGCGACAACAGATATTATTTTCTAATTCAGTCCTGACAGAACGATAATCAGAGGCGATAAGTACGAATTGTTGCGTAAAACAGATCAGATCCTCGAATTTTACTGTTCGCTGCCTGAAATGATGTGTATTCTGTCGGCCATTTTAAGACCAGAACAACAAAGCAGAGTAGCCACCCGTGGGAAACATCTTATGAATCTTCAAATCAGTTTTGTGACCTATTTTTAATGCTATCACTTTCCGTTTTATTTCAAGTTTTATTTTATCAAATAATTATTGGATGAGTATTTTATGGGCCCGTGCAAATGTGAATTTGCCATTTTCCCGCCGTGCTGCTTGAAGCTGCTTTAGCGCCTTACGCTACGCTTGGCGGGAAGTACCAACCAGTAATACAGACCTCGATGGTAGCTTGAAAAGATGGGCCAATATTCAAATATCCACCAAATACTAGCGACAAAAGAGCAGTAGAAAGTACGTCCGTCATTCGCCGTTACGAAATTGCCGCGCCTTATAGGTAGGTAACATCGGTAACATCTTGCCTACAGTGCATACGCGTACGGCAGGGTGGCCTACCCTGAGTCTAGCAGGCGCCAAGCTCTCGTAATTTGCCGAATTACTCTGAGTAAAAACTGAGCTACTTTCTGGACGACCCCTTATTTACTTATTCCATGCTACCGAGCTGCGTAATATAACGTAATATAATATGTCATGTTATGACAAAGATCTTCCACGACAGACGGGGGTATGTGGTTGGTGGTAGGAATTTTACAATTGCTACATTCAGTCTTCATTATTTATTAACATCGTTAACCATACAAATAAAATGCAACATTTTACAATGTGATAAGACACAATCAGGTAATGTAATAAGATAACACCATTCTGATTAATGACTTATTTAAGAGCCAGTCACTTGCTTTCGAAGCAAGATATGCAACCGCAAAGAACTTTGTATCTATCCAATATCAGCAAATTTACATATAAATACAAATACACAAGGATAAATACAGATATATACATAATTACAAACAAATTTTAACAAAGGGGATAAATTTGGGGACCTAAATGATTATAATACTTTAAAACAGCAATCTCTTTTTGAAATAAGTATGGGCATTGGATTGTCATAATAAAACTTAACAGAAGAGGTAATAAATTGCTATAACTGGAATTATTTGCTTCTACATAGCACAATTGGGGCTTCAAGGAAAAAAGTATATTCAAAAGAATTTTGACAGAACAAAGCAAAAAGCAGCAGGTATAGTTTGTCTTTGTTGCAACACAATATTGCGCCCTTCATTGAGCACAAAATTTTGTTAGAGCAATATGACCTGCTAAAACTAGAATGAACAATGAACAAGGCAAATTCGGGTGATCAAATCATAGGTATTACTATTTTCACTGCTAGCTGTGTCCACCAGGTTCATCAAGGTTTGAGTGCAGCTGGCACATCACATTCACTTTAGTTGTGAACAGTTTGTTTACTATTCTTGTGCTCCTCTAATAGGTTTCTGTTTGGTTTCTTTAAGTTTTTATTTCCCGTCGGAGTGGAGCGGCAGTTTAATTTATTTTTCTCTGAACATATACGTAAACAAATGTGCTGGAGAGACATATTTGGCCATTGTACTTATTTGCTGTTTTGACGAATAATGCAACATCAAATATGCCACTGTAACAAGTCTTGTTGGAAAAAATAGTTCCTCTTAACAGTTGGCAGTGAAAAAAGTTACCAACAAGGTATCAAATTAGCCTGGCGAATCCTAGGTTTAGTCAGCTAATGCTTTAACTGTGGGTTGGTTGCTCACCTCTAGCTCTAACCATAACACATATATTGCAAAGATTATGTGATGTGATGTACTTGATTCTTAGTTTCCTTCACAATATGTAGGCTCACTAGAGCATGGTTTCCTTGATTCCTTTTTTAGTACTGTATTTTAATACATGGTACTTGAACACTTTGTTGAACTATGCAAATGGTAACTGATACAACCACGGGTCTCAACTGACATTATTTACAAAATAGTCTGAAAATTAAAATTGAGAAAACACTAAGAGTTAACAGTAAGACAATATTAGTTGCAAATAATGGGTATTTTACAGAAAATTAACATTGTATCTTTTTAAGTGTAAAAATTACATAGCAAACCCAATTCACAGATAATCAGACTAGTTCTGTTTCTTACAGTTTTCTGAAAAACATGACTGCTAATGTGGATTGAATGATATAAACCACAAAGTAAACTTTGAAAGAGTCTGAAAGTTATGCTTACCCAGTCAGAAACTTTAAATCTAAAAGACGTTTAAGTCTATTTCGGACCCTAAAGATGTCCACATGGTTAAAAATAGACTGTTTATAGAGTTTCAATGTTTTTTGTAGATGTGACATTACTGGCTGGGTAGGTAGACAACACAAATACTCTTTTTAGTTATTTATGCAAGAATAGAAATAAAGAGAATGGAAAATAACACTTGAGTATGACTAGGAACATTGCATGATCACCTCTTATAAAATAAAATGTATTAATAAATAACTTTTACAACAAACACATCCATTAAATGCTGATAGAATCAATACATGCACACAATGGATTTTAAAAAACTATCGACAATAGACGACATTAACTGTTTCCTACTCTAAGACTTGAATCTAAATACCCAATGAAAAGAGACTTCAGCACAGTAATTTATGTCTCAAACCTTATCGCACAGTATCACATGAGAGTTGACAAATTCAGACATATCAACATTAATGAAAATGACATTTTTCATTTAGATTGAATGAGTGAACACTAAATAATATAAATAACTGATATAAGCTACCGTTGATCATTTTCATTGTGGTTATGGCCTACTTCAGCATACATGCATGATGAATCTGAGCAAGAACAACAAGTATCACTGGCCATGGACTGAGGCCGTCCATTACTACTGTTATGATCAGAAGAATAATCACTGCGGCATCCAGAGAGCAGGCAGTCTGCTGCAGAGCCATAATCTGCTAAGGCATTACAGGGTGATTCTGCTGCTGCAAATAAATTTCAGTTTAGTACATCTTATAAGAACAAACATAAATAAGTGGGGATAATAGATAACATTTGAATCAAAAATCTTACCCATAGCAGAATTATTAGGTAATAAACTAATTAAAGAAGACTGACATGCCCGTTCTTCACTGGATGGTGCTGATCCAGACTGAGGATCATATTCGTTTGTGAATCTTGGAACCTAGAGATTATGGAAAGGCACAGATGAAAAAAAAGACTAGCTTAATAAATTTTTGCGAGCCTATTTAGGTAAATTACTTACTGGTGGTGGCCTTTGCTGAGGTGGCTCTGAGTGGTACCGACTCTGCCCATCATTGGCAGCTTGTGGGTGAGACTGAGGACACCGCGAACGCTGCCATGAGCACGTCCTTCCATTGGATGTGGACGCAGAGGCCGAGCCAGATTGCGAACCACTAGTACCACAGCTTCGGCTCGTGGAGCTACCAGGACGGCCCGTCGTGCTGCAGTGGCCTGGGCCTAGACCAGGGCCTGGACCCCTTCGTGAGGACTGCGGGCTGAGAGTGTTACAACCTGGACCAGGGGGTGGGGGTGGTTGCTCTGGCGGGGGAGGGAGGATGTCACTCCAGTGTGGAGGCTGAGAGTGGGAGTGGGGTAGTGGATGTAGGTGAGGATGGGGAAGTCGTCTATCATATGACACATGAACTTCATCTGAAAAAAAATAAAATTTGGACATTTTATAAAAGTAAGTTTATCAATAGTTATTACTGTATCAATAAATTTTGATGGAATTAAGCCTTTCTTTCTTAGGGAAATGAAGTTATAAGATAGTTCAGCTTACCCGAGTAGCTGCCATCAATTGTGCTGGGAGCACCAGGAGATAAAGGACTCTTTCTCTGATACAGAAGACTTCCACTGGCATAAGGATCTTGAGATGGAGTTGAGCCCTAAACAGATGAAATATTCATTAGGTCATACAGTGTATCTCTTGGAAATTAAAGCAGCAAAAGACAAATTTAAATAAATTCAATTAGATTAGATTTGAATTGTGTTAACTTTTCCAAATTAACATATTACCTCCAGGTGGTCTGGCCTTTGTCCAGGGAGTTGATTAAGTAGCATTGTTGTAGCATAAGGAGTAGGATCAGATGCATCAGACTGCTCACAATTAGTTGTTAACGGCGGCTGTCGATAAAATGAAGAAAGTGCACATGCAGCGTCAACTTCTGCGTACTCAGATCCAAGTGGTGGAGTAACAGGCACTCCCTTCCCAGCAGCTGCTCGCCATCCTCTATCGATCCAAAGTGTTTCTTTACCACTCAGTAAACCTAATCCTGCCATGTCATTGGCATTCACAACAGGAACTGCAAATGCAATAGGAATAGAGTCAATAATTGGATTTAATGAGTACTCTCTAGGTAATTGGTTACAGGAACCAACCTTTAAGGTGGCCAAGCTCTTTTCCCGCAGTTTGTCTTCTTTTCATGTAAACCATTCCAGCAAAACCACTGGCTAGTAAGAGAGCCATAGCACCCATCAAAATTGCAAACCATGTTTCTCTTACTACACTTGATGTATCATTTGTGGGCCGTGACCGAGGAGTGAAAGAATGAAGAGCTGACGGATCCATGACAAGAGGTGTCCCTATCGAGTACGGCCCTAGACCAGCTTTTGTAAATGCTGCAACCCTAGTCATATATTCAGCTCCAATCGTCAAGTTGTTTAATAGCACAGACATATTAGTTGCATTCAATGTCATCTGCCCTAAAAGCTTGCCCAATGGGCTGCTTATTTGAATCTGGAAAACAAATGACCCAATGAATAATATTAATTGATAAGAGTCACCCAGAAGTTTCATCAGACACAGGTCATGAAGCTAATTATTACCTTATAGCCTACAATCTTCCCATGATGACTGTCAGCAGCCGGTGGTGTCCATCTGACAAAAGCTGTTGTTGCATTCAAAATTCCAACGTGAATATGTTCTGGAGGAGCTGATGGAGCTAGAAATTCAGATAAAAGTTATAAAATAATTATCCTTACAGTAATAAAATAAAACAAAAAGCTAGAAATAGAAATGTTGACTGACCATCCTCAAGAGTAGAAACTACTTTAAAATTAGATGGCTGTCCGTCAATTGATTTGTAAAATGGTGCAAGGAAAATCTCATATGTGGTGAATTTTTTAAAGTCATTTAAAGTATAACTGGTTGCACCAGAGTTGTCAATTTTCACAACATCATATTCAGGAATATTATCACTGAAGCTATCATTAGTTTGGGGCAACTCGCGATATCGCACGTAAAATCCTTCAATGAAGTTAGCAGAACCAACAATCTGAAAACAGAAGAAAAGATACAAAAGCATAAATAATGAATACAGAAAAATTGAAATTCATACTAGTACAGCATATACCAGATACTATGGGCACACATATAGTGTTAGCCTTGAAAGAGACTTACATCCCAAGTCAGACGTAAAGATGTAGAAGAAATAGGTTGCACATCTCTTAAAGTGACAACACTTGAGCTTAAGTGTGATCGAGCAACAGCCCCTTCATAAGGAGGCAGTATGTCTGCGTTGGCACTCAGTGTATGACCAGGCTCAGACACAGGGCTAGGCAAAGACACACCTGCATCACTTTCTGCTCGAACTATGAAGACATAACTGGAATCTGAAGTAAGACCAGTGACCTGCAAATTCAGATTTTTATAATTACTGGTACTAGTGAAAGCATGAATGTGACAATTTTTATTATTATTATGGTGTGGCGTTTTACCGTGAAAACTTCAGCTTTAATCCCCTTTGCTGCTCGAACCCAACCAATACTTTGATTTTCACTCGTAAAGAAATCAAGCATATATCCAACCAGGTGTGAGCGGTCATAGCGACCTGGGTTTGGATCAATCCAAGAAACTGTTAGAGAATTTCGTGTGGCATTCACAATTATAGGTTTTGGCGGAGCAGTAGGAAGTGAGGCTGGGTCTGGACCCCTACGGGCTTCAGGTAAACCATCAACAACAGATATCCATGCTGACCAAGTAGTTTGACCAGCAGAGGATGAAGCTTTACATGTGTATTCTCCAGAATCTGATAATTGTAAATCTGTCCAAACAAAAATAATGCACAGTAAAATTAGTGAAAGGATATACACAGATGATTTAGAAACTTACATGAACTTTAAATTTGATATTTCAAATATGGTCATGAAATTTACTTTTAACAGACAAACTTCCTCGACTCGACATTGCAATGCGGCTGCCAGATGGTGAAAGAGGACTGCCATCTTTGAGCCAGCTGATTTGTGTGAAGGCTTCACTTCCTGAAGGTGGAGCTGCCTGGCATGGTAACACAGCAACTGCTTGTGCTGGTAAAGTTTGATTTCCAGGACCCAACTGAATAATTGGTGGGGGTGCTTGTTGTAAGGGGAGGACTTCAAGAAGAGCTCTTTCAGTCGCTGAACCAGCAACACTCAAGGCAGAACAAACAAAATACCCAGAGTCTTCTCTAGACACACTTTTCATGGACAGAGTCCCTTCTGCAGATACTGAAATGTCCCCATGAATTGATCCAGGAAACATAAGAAGCCTTGATCCTTCCCGACTCCAAAATACTGATGGAGGTGGGCTACCTTCTGCAGCACAAGGAAAGGAAACAGAACTCCCAAGAGGAACACGCACGTCTGATGGGCGCACAGTAAAATATGGTGGAGCTGAAAATACAATATGGATGTTATGTCTCATGAATACTGAAAGTTAAAATAATTGATCCAAAATATTTAAAAACCTAAAACTTACAATGAACAGTAAGAGCAACTTTTGCGGAATCACTGCCAACATCATTCTCAGCTTCACAAATGTAAGTTCCAACATCTTCTGATGTAACATGTTCTATGCGAAGAGCTTTATTGTCCAGTATATGAGCCCTGGCAATTGGCATTCTCCCATCCTCTCTTCGCCACAACATAGTAGGAGCCGGCTCACCTGCTGAAGCACACTCTAGCTCCACACTTTGCCCGACAAGGGCTGTGACATCACTAGGTGGATGAATAAAGTAAGGCTTAACTGTGAAAAAGAAAGGAATAATCAAAACAAATTAGAGAAGTCTAGAGATAGATAAGGTTAAACGCAGTAGGAGACTAGTTGTTTGGCTCAATGGCACACAACACAACATGACACTTCTTCTTACCATGTACATCAAGGTTGGCGGTCAAGCTCTCCCGTACACCGGCAACATTCTGGGCGATGCATTTGTACTTGCCCTCGTCGCTTTGGGAAACACTAGGTATGAGGAGATTCCCTCCTTCAACGATTTTGTATCTGAAAGGAATCAAGAAGGGAAAGAATCAGATTTGATCAATAAGGAACACATGTGGTGAGCGCACACGCACATATCTGAAGAGCACCCCACCTTCGGTTGTTGTCCACGTCCAAGTCTTGCCCGTTCCTCTTCCAGATGACGGTGGGCTCAGGCTGTCCCTTGGGCGGGCCACACTCCAGCAGCGCAGTCTCCCCAGCGGCCACACGCGTGTCCCTAGGCTGGGTGCGAAACTCGTCCCGCAGAACTGGAACAGAATCGTCAACATCCGTGTAGTCCGTCTATTTTTTTTTGTATGGACGCAGAAATGAAGCGGATATTTCAGGACACTGCGGGCAACGTCCTCTCTCCCCACATACAAACACTCACACTAACGCACACACATACACGAGAGCGGGCGAACCCTTTGACCAGTGGTGCGCGGCCTCAGTGAACGGGGCGCGGCGAATGGTGGGGGAGGGAGGGCGGGGAAGGGGAGGGGATGGGACGCACAGGTGTATTCAACGTGGCATGAGATGGGAAATCGCATGGAAGCGACCCCCCCCCCCCCTACCTCCCTCCTTCCTCCCCGAACCCACGCCGACCCACCCTGCTCAGCGAGCGAGGGGTCGCCTGGGAGGTAGGCGGACCCGCCGCGCACCAGTGTCGCACGGGACTGCCTACCCACAGCCCGCAGGCGCTACGCCGTCCGCCCAAAGCAACCGCCTCGGTCGGAGCGTACCGGGGAACTAGACCACTTATGGGGAATTTATAAATATACTGAAAGAAAGAAAAGAGCAGTATTAACGAGAGCTATAAAAAGCCCCCCCCCCTTTCCCGCACGCCCCTTTTACAGCTGCCTTCCGCCAGGCTCTCCCCTGCCCCGGGAAGGGGTGGACAACGTCACATCCGGCTCCGGCCCGCCTCGGCTCCAGCCAGACCACGCCCGGAGGGCCCCGAGGACACAAAGCCGATCTACAGGAATCAACGGCGGAGTGACAAAAGTTTTCTACGGTGGGGGAGGGGGCGTGGTGTGGTTCACAGGGGAAAGGGGGGGTTGTTGATGTTAAGGATTTCTGCCACGGACTCGCGAGGCTACGAGGGGACTTCCCCACCCACCCACACAGCAGCGGCTCGGCGCTCGGCACAGAGCACACGGGTTAAGGATACCGGAAAGGGGGGGGGGGGCAGCTAGCGGGGGCAGCGGAAGCGGATGTATCGGAGTCAACGAGGATAGGGCTGCGAGGGGAGCGGGGGAAAAGAAGGGGCGAGGAGGGGAGGGGACCGGAAGTACGATCCAGCACTTCCAATCACGTCGCCCCGACATGGCAAAGAGCTCCAAAGCGCGCAGACGTGGGGGTGAAAATGGTCCCAAATCAGAGGTAGTCGTGATCGGAGGCCCCGGAGGCCTGGCCCCTTCACACCGAGTACACGACAAATCTAGGGTGTCTAGTAACTGGAAACCCTCATGGCGATGCGGTGTGGTAGCCTGCCCCAGGAGATCGGCGAAGTTATGGGAGGTTCGGAGCGTGAGATAAATAATAAAAACACCTACGTACTTGGATATGGATACAAGAAAAACGTCTCGGCAGGCAAAACGTCGAAACTTTTAAATCCAATACACAAGGAAGGCTACAGTTTGAAGAGCGTTCGTGGGGCGTGGAGCCTTTGGGAGTAAACCTTCTTGGGTCACTCGCCACCTTCAGTCATCCTCGTGTCACAGGAGTCAAATGGACAAATCTACCGTGCGAAAAAAAGAGGTATGTAGGGGAGGTACTGCAAATCTTTGGCGCATCGCACATCGACGGCGGGGGCGGGGGCAGGACTGACACGGGCGGGGATTTAACCGCAGTCCCAGCTCAGCGGCAGCGCGCGCGTGCTACGGCCTGCAGCACGGCGCGTCCTCCGGGGGACGGAGCCGACGGAGCCGTGGGAGCACCAACCAGATATCTGACAGATAGCGAGCTGCGGCGGAGGGAGGCTCGGGGCGGGAGCCCCTTCCTCCGCACGGGCAGAAGGGGAAGAACAAGCGACAGCAGCGGGGAGCGCAGCGGAGCGCAGGCTCCTAGACGAAGATGAACGCCGAGATAAAGGTCTAACAGGCGATTCTTTGCGCTCGCTGCCGGCAGCGCCACCTCCCTGGGGCACAACTGCCGACCGGCTCCTCCGCCCGGCTCAACCCCCGCAGTGCAGCACCGGGTGGGTAGCGCCCCTGCCCTGATTCCCACAACACCGCGAACATGCTTCACGGGGGCGTGTTGTGCGCCGTGCACTCCAACACACTCACACAGCAGGTCCGGAGCTCTAGAGCAAGGGCGCGCGTCGGCGCGCGGGGGAAGGCGAGGAAGGGTAGGAGTCCGCACTGTGCCAAAGTCGGGTCGGGGGCAAGTTACTGGACAGGGGCTGCCGCGGACAGCCCCCCCCCTCCCTCGTTCCCCACGGTACCCCTGGCGGCTGGCGACTGCAACCCCCCTCCTGCCCCCTGCTTCCCCGTTGCCCTGCCCATTGGCTGCCCTCAATTATATCGGTGTAATCGTCCGTACCATTTCAATGGCCGGGACGCAAGGGGAGGGCCGGGTGCGGCGAGCGGGGCACACAATGCAGGGCCCGGAGGGGCGGGCCGGGGCACCAGCTGCACGTCGACACGGATTAGTTTGACCTAACTTACAGAGGACTGTCCTCGCGCCCAAGAAGTTTCAGTCTTCATGCAGGAAACGGGTGGGTTTGGCCTCGGCGGGTTTGGCCGTCCCCAAACTATGCGCGCGGGGCTGTGTGTGCGCGTGCGGCGTAGTGAATGAGGGAAGAGATTTTATCGGGGGAAGGGGACTACTCCTGCCTCAAACTTCCACTTGAGTAAGGGAATATCATTGTGGTGCGGGGCAGGGGCTCGCTGGCAGCCCAAGGCCCACTTGTCTCCTCAGAACTCGGGGAAAGTTCCGAGGTCCCCTGCAGGGGGCCCCTGCCCCTAAGGTCCCCTCGAGGTCCCTTGAAGTCCCCTCTGTGGCACCTGCTGTAAATTGTGAAAGCACCCTCTCCTCTGCTCCGCCCACTCCTGGTCCGGGGCCCACCCTCCCATCCCCGCCCCGCCAGGCTCTGGCCCGGCAGCGCGGCGGCGGCGTCTCGGCTCCGGCCGCGCTGTGGCTCAGGGGCTGGTCGGAAACAAACCGGAACAACTCCGGAAGCCGGGAGCCGCCAGGGGCTCGGCTCCGAAGTCTGCGCCTGCGGGCGCTCGGCCAGATAGATAGGCCGGCCCCGGAGGACAAAGGCACCACGGCCCACCAAAGTCACGGGGTGTAGCCCCCCCCCTCCCCTAAACAAGCTGGTTGATACCGTTGTTTTTGAGCCACGCGTTGGTTGTCGCCAGAGCACGCCTCTCGGCCTCACCTGTGAACAGAAAACAACAAAGCCTGTCGTTAGTAGAAGAAACAATGAGGGGAGAGAGAAGTATAATACGAGGAGGAATTAAAACTTGACGACTGGGTGCGATTTGTGCGTATTTGTGCCGGGGGTGTGGCTCTTTTGTCAAACGATAATTTCCCCGAGTCGAGCTGCTCTGTCAATACTTCTACTCCACGAGAAAAACATTAACAATAAACAAAAACAGTTTCTTTCAAAATGGTTTCTTTTTCTTTTTCCTCGAATCGCTCACCCTCTCACAAGTATACCTTTCCGACTAAGTCATTGTGCACTTGAGCACCGCCAGCATCACGGAGTTCTTTAAACCCACGGGTACCTCAGCACCCTCGTTTGTACCTCTCTAATTAGTAATCAACTTGCTTACTCGCGTTTGCTTCTTTTTGCTATTTTTTTCCAACTATGAAAAGGCACTGTGGGCCGCACGGCCGCGCACGGCACGGCACTGGCGGGCTATTATTCTCTCGTTAAGACGTCACGCGTCTGCTGGCCGCCGAGGCCCCCCGCCCGCCGCCCGCGACCCGCAAACCAGCCCCCTGATTTATCCGCTGATGGTTGTCACTGTTACACCGTAAAGTGCAGCCTGTGTAAACCAGGCGGGGAACGACTTGTCCGCACGAATGAACCACTTCCCTCTCACGAGGCGAGTCCGCGCGATAGCCGAACAGTGGTACTACGCCTTGGCGGCGGGGTCGACAATCAACCTGGAACGCGACCCTCCACACAATGCAAGCCAAGTGGGGATAAAAATGTACCGTCACCCAATATTTAATTTTTCTTTGATATGGTGTAAGCCCAGAGGGTAGGTTTGCGTAACTTTTTCAAATGTTTATCCAAAATGCATGGCGTGGATTGGATTTTTTTTTAGCCATACACAAGCCCGCGTGAAAAGTACTTTTCCAGTTAGTGAGCGGGTGCGGCTTGCGCGCACTCGTTCGCCATGCGGCGGTCCTGTGAAACTAATTCAAAGTAAACTTTTTCCACAGAGGCCCAGGTCAGGGCGAGCCTATGCGGTGGTGTGGGCGCGCAGCCTGCGCGCGCCGCGCAACAAAAACTAATGCAGCAGCCCCCGCCCGGCACCGCCCGGCACACACAGGGGGGCCCCGCTGCTTTCCTGTAAATTAATTTGCAGCCGGCAGGCAGGACTCCCCCGGCCGCTCGGGGGGGCCACATGAGCTGGCGTGCGCGGCAGGCGGCAGTGGGGGGCAGGCGGAAGGTTGGAGGTGAAATTAAATTTCAGGGGGTTTGGCGCTGTCTGGCTAGTCGGCAGCCGCGCCGCCGTGCCCGCCGTGCAAGCGCTAGCGGTCTGGCATGGCCCCAGCAGAG